CACGAACTCGTCAAGGAACAAGTAAAGTCAATCCCACTTGTCCCTTTGACGAGTTCGTAGCTTGGTGCGGAGAATGGCAAAAATCACTGGTGATGTCGGCGAAACGTTTGAGAATGTACCAAGTCCACTGTCTGATGCTGGGAATCATGACAGCTACTATGGCAGACGACTTCGAACTAGGTGCGTTCTACTAAGTACTACTAAGCCATGACAACAAGATCAAGTTGCGACGAGGTCAACAACACTATATTAATCCCGATCAAAATTCCCCTTTTATGCAAGACTCGTCATACTCAACCTCATATATTAAGCCGGGATATGAAGAAGCAGCATACACAGAATATTACAGGATGCTAGCATTGTAGGTACTTGCAAGCTGAAAATCCAAGACCATTTTCCCACGTTCTTAGATGGATATTTTTATATTTTTGGATTTTGGGGTGAAATATTATATTTTAACTTGCGATTGTGAGAGTCACCTTTTTTACACAAAGAGCTTCTCCAATTATTATGCATCTTACCTTCAATCATTCCCATTTTAAATTTAATTGCGCAGAAGTCATATCCTACCCTGAGTCGCTCTTCACGCCTCAGCTACTTGTCCCCTGTGCCATCATGCCGCATGTCCGGACACCACTCGCCCAGCTGTCTAGGGGGTAGCACTCTGATATCAAGCGGGAGTGCCGGGTTCACCGGATCATTGATTGGCCTCGATGTTCAAGCCGCTACACCATCCGTGCTTGCACTCGCTCTTTCCAGCACAAGCGGCACTAGCAACACAGCCGATGCAATGCAAGCAGATCTAGTCGCATTTGCTAAGGCTACTGAGCGTTTTATTGGCCTTCTGCAAGAAGCCTAACCAAGAACTTCGTCCCTACTTCATGTTGATAGTATATTTATCCTATCATTTATCTCTTCTACTTTATCAGTTTGGAAGGGCCGCATCTGATATCTTGCCCAAAATCCAATGTCGATGAGACGTCACCTGTTAAAGAAATTTAGGCAGAAATTAATTATGTAATATTCTATGCTTTAGGCTTACCAAGCTTATAGGCCGGGCCGTATCTATATGAAGCTCTGATCATTCCCCAAAAGTACGAACCTTTGCTTAATGGTTAGCCTACGGACGATATGTTTTCTTCGTATCAACTATTACGATGATTTATCTGCCCTTGCCATATCTCTTTGCCTTTGCAATATTCGCCTTGCTTGCCTTCCATTTGAAGCTCATCCCGGTTAAATTTCTGATCAGTTTTGCATTTACTTTAACTGCAATATACAAACTAAACTTAATTTAGCTCTTTAAAATCTCGCCCTTGTTATATACTATTTGTATTAATGTCAGAGTTATCTAAAATGCTACAACCACTTTCCTCTTCTCACCATAATCAATTTCGGGCTGGAGCCTAGTTGGTGCTCATCTTATAATACGCGCTTCCAAACTGTGACCTAGAGTAAGTTGGCCACTATTTCCTTACTATATTGGCCCATGAACCCTGTGCTTCATGGTCTTGTAATCAGTAGAGAGAATATCTGCTTCCGTTAGTCATCAATATGGCTTAAAAGCTTGCTAGTATTTGCATTTTTGTCTCTGTATTTTCATATTTTATTATTGATGGCTACTTTTTTGTGTCTAACTCTTGATAATGCTTTACGCTATAAGGCAGTTTCCGTGTATTTTTGTTTTAACTAGAGCCCATACTATCTTCGTAATAATAAAGCCTTAATATACTCGTATCCAATTACCCCTTGACAATTTTATTTTAAATCTTACGCAAAAAAATTTCGTTATACTTATTTGATTTATTGTGGAAACCTTCATAATGAGATTCGAATGTCGATCTCACTAGAAGATGACGGATGATTCCCGATGAACTGCTGCCGTCTGGCTTTAATACGACCCTTAGGTTGGTGTAGTCCACGAGACATCCTTCCTTGTTCCGAGCGGAACGGGTTACGCTTTCGTTCCTCATGTCGAACATCGTCAGAGCTGGGATTCATTCTTGCAAAAGCCTCAAGTAAATATTAGGTTAATAAGAATGACCGGTTATTATATTTATATATATATATATATA